TGCAAACTTTAAAGTGATTTTGAGCTTAAATGGCTTACAAATAAAAAAATCCACCATAAAAAACCACATATATCTAGTCCACAAAATGAGATATGCTACTGATGAAACATGAGAGTATAAAGTTGGTAACCTTTAGAACCGAAGAATCGATGGAGGAATCGACAAAATCTTGTGATTACTGGTGATGAGGAAGAAGAGAGGCCGGCGATGAAGCAAGAACACTGAGGTCGAAGTGGCTCGGGCTCGGGGAGGAAGAAGAGGTATATAGGAGGAGACCTTTAGTCCCAGTTGAAGACACCAGCCGGGACTAAAGGTCCCTTTCTAGTTTCGGACGGAGCCTCCAGCCGGGAGTAGACTTTTACTCCCGGTTGTAGGGACCAACCGGGAGTAAAAGTTAACCTTTAGTCCCGGTTGGTAGCTCCAACCAGGACTAAAGGTCCCCTGCAGCAAAAGCCTGCCGCAGTAGCCATTGGGCAGGGACCTTTAGTCCTGGTTGGAGCTACCAACCAGGACTAAAGGTTTCTCTAGTCCCGGATGCGAAAAATACCGGGACTAAAGTCAAATTTCGAAGTGGATCAAAAGCCGTTTTTCTACTAGTGATCTGGAGGTGGAAAGATGTGAGGACGAATAAAGAAGGACATGGTTTCTAATGCAAATATACAAGAGAGAAAAGGTATAAAAGTGGTTGGTAATTTTAAATAGTCTTGGATTCCTTATGCAAAATTGTCTAGATGAACCCAACAAATATGCTCCAAACTTTTTTTATCCACATAAAATATTCATTGATTTACCAACTGAATTTTTAGAAACAATTAATTGGAGGTGCTCTTATATCTATTTATTTGTTCGCTCACCGTGATGAGGTAGTCCTATTGGTGGCAGAGAGACAACTAATTAAAGATTGCATCTTTTTCTTCCTCTCTATTGATTAACTAATTTCATGAGAGTGCTTTCTCATCAAGTGTAAAACCAAAAAGATGGAGGAAATCCGCAAGATATATATCTTGAGCAGAAGTGCATCAGCCGGTGGGATGTGTTCAGTCCGGTGCCGGTAGGAGCCTCGGCGACAACATGAGGGAGGTCCATGACGGCACAGTTGATGTGTAGGAAGGCGCTGGCAATGGCAGCCGCGGCTGTGCCACGGCGCCCCCAACATCGACAAGAGACGTGAGGCCATGGAATATGGCAGGGCTCTCGCTGACCACGGCGTGCATGACGAGGCGGGTATCGACATCCATGCACTCGTAGAAGCCGGCTCTGGTCGTGGCATCCACTACTACAGAAGCGTTTTCCGCGACGGGCGAATTTGCTTTTGCGCAGCGGGCAAACGCGTCCGCCAGCGTGGGAAGGTCACGGTAAATCGTGGCCTTCCCGCGGTGGGCCGCTTTGCCCGCTGCGGTTAATTGATTTCCCGCGGCGGGCACGTTAGGATGCCTACCGCGGTTAAACGTTTCAAAAAAACAAAAAAAACCTAGGAACCCGCCGGCGAGCCCATTCTCGAGCCCACTGACGAGCCCATTCACAACCCAATACTAGCGCCACCGCACCTCGCTGGATCCGCCGCCGGGGTCTCCACCTTGTCGGATCTGCCGCCGGGGAGGTCATCCTCGCAGGATCTACGCCATCGCCGCAGGTTGGGGCCGTCTCGCCGTGGATCCGTGTCGTCGCCGTGTGGATCCACGTCGTGGGAGCAGGGAGTAGACGCGGCCGCCCTAGAATCGCCGCCATGTGGATCCACGTCGCAGGGAGTCGACGCGGCCGCCTGGATCCACAGCCGTGTGGTCCCTGCGCGCCACGCAGCTCCTCGCCTATGAGAGAGAGAGATGAGGGAGGTACTGAGAGGAGAGAGAGGGAGAGAGAGATACCGGGCACGGCGGCGCTCTCCTCGCCAGATCCGGTCTCTATCCTGGACCCGCGTGGTGGCGCGCGCGACGGAGAGGTGGTGGCGCGCGTGACCTCGCTTGTCCCTGCGCCGCAGAGAGGCCTTCACACGCCGGCGAGGGAGAGAGAGAGGGAGTGGGAGAGAGAAGGAGTGGGAGAGAGAGAGAGAGGGAGTGGGAGAGGCCTTCACGCTGGCGACTGAGGGAGTGCGTGCGTCGCGGTTCGTCGCGGGGTGGAGGTGCTCGTCGCAGGTCACGAGGTGGGCGAGGTGGGAGCGGCGCCTGGGGATGAGAGGTAAGAGGACTGAAACCCTAAGTGCTCATTTTATACCAGTACCCGCTACGGGCCTCGCCCTGGGCCTATTGGGCCTCGGCCTTAACCGAGGCGGGCTTTATAGGATGCCCGCCACGGTACATCGATTTACCGTGGCGGATCTCTTAATATGCCCGTCACGGAAAATAGGTATTTTCCGTGGCAGGCATATTAAGAGGTCCGCCACGGTAAATCGATTTATCGTGGTGGGCAAAAGTGTCCGCCTCAGTAAATAAAAAATGCCGCCGCGGTAAATCGTGGGATTTACCGCAGCGGGCAAAAATAAGAGCCCGCCGCGGAGAGCGTTATCGCAACGCAGCGTAAATTTGTTTTTGTAGTAGTGATCGTCTTGTATAGACTCAAACATGCCTTTGCATGCCGTTTACCATCTCGTAGAGAGACATGGCGGGCGCCTGCTGGTGCTTCCTCCAGTCACCCGTGCTGAACCAGACCGATGTAGCTATATTGACTTGCTATGTTCTCCGGTTTTTGATAAACGATAACCCGTGAACCAAATATAATGTTTGCTACTAATTTATGAGACGAATTTTCTAAACCTAATTAGTCAATGATTTGCATGTCATGTCATCATTTGTCTTAGATCCAATCACCGTGTCTACTATAATCACTTTCCCCCTCCCTTCTTTGCCACAAATTGCTTCCTTGCACCGTTGCATTATCTTTGATGCACTTAGCGGTCATCCCAGTCATGCAGAATCCACTGCACAAAGATTGCATACAAGCCGTATGCAGCCGCCAATAATATATAAAATATATGTAGATGAAAGAAACATTTCATTTATTATTTGGAATGAATTTAGTTTCCACTGCAGAAAGATTGCATAGAACCCGTATAGATCAAAACATTTAATTTATTAGGGTCTCGCGACTCAGCGCCGCCGCCGCCGCCCTTGCTTCCACCACTGCTAGTCCCCCTCTCTCCCCCCTCCGGCATATCGTCGGAGACAGGAGGGAGTGGAGATCCATCGTTTTTAATAAATTTTCCTAGTAGATCGAGTCTTTAGGGTTAAGGTCTCTCCATGTCAAATTTTTTGGTTTTGGGGATTTATTTCCTCCTACTCCTCTCCGGGGACGGCGAGAGGGCACGGTGGAATCGTTTTCTCCATGATGGCTCTATTGAAGATGCGGGCAACAACTACGGCGTCAACATCCTCACCGGTTTCATGACATGGAAACTTTTATTTTCAGACGGCAACATCAAGGCAGAGATGGTGTTGCCGCCATGGAATAATTTTCTCCGGTCTCTTCTTCGTTTTATTGTGGTTAGATCTGGCCACAATGAAGGACCAGGGAGAATAAGTTTCAGATCAATCTTCCTCATTCTTCGGTGGCAGAAAGAAGAAGGAAGACACCGGAAAGAAGAAATTTCTCAACTCCGTCTACATGAATGTTGGACGTCGTTCATTGGGCATCTGTTCCCAGGCCTTTTGCCGAGTGTTTGTTTGTGCGGTCATCCATACTGCAAAGCGTCGTACAGGTTTAGTTTTGAGATCTGGAGCTATTCACAACGTGGGTATAATTTAGATGAAAATCAATTTCTGAATATTTGTGTAATCCAGAGTGCTTGTAGGATGTTCATGTATCCAGCTATTATCTAATATAAATCTTCTTTCGTCGTAAAAAGGACATTTAATTTATTATTTGGAATAAAATTAAATACATAATACTTGATACTCTTTTTCTCCAAAAATGATAATCATATTTTGAACTTTACGTGCGCGTGGGCCAATGGTGCTAACTGCCAAGGTTAGCTAACGTTTCGCTGTCATCAACGCGACGCGTTTGTCCACACTCAACAAACGCCTACCTGTTTTAAGTAGGTATTCTGTTATTGCTTATTTACATACTACTAGCCAGACATATGTCCGTGTGTTACACCGTGGTTATGAATTTTTGTATACACATACGGTGACACACATGGCTTGCGGTTTAAATGAACATATTAAGAAATCTGCAAATCTAATGACATAGAAAATATAAAACTCATTTTATGATCTTTATCATCTATATCGTGTAGATCTAGTTTATAAAAATCTAATAAAATTAGTTTCACTTTTTTAATATTTGTGTGATTCATGATCTTTATCACCTATATCGTGTCACTAAAAGCTACATCAATCTTCTACAATCCACAGCCGTGCACTAGGTAGAAGTAGTTGGTTCACTCGCTATAGCAAAAGGTGCTGCTTAGATAGCATCTCCAAGAGTTTTCAAAACTTTTTTTAGGCAAGATTAAAAAAACGTTGTCCAATAACTCTCTATCTCGACTCCCAATCTTTCAGCACTACTCAACCGTGCGGAAATATAGGCGCGCGTATGGTTCGGCCAATCTAGATGAGAGAAGACATGGAGATGAGTAAGAGGGACATCATTTCTAATACAAATATACAAGAGAGAAAGAAAGTATAAAAGTGGTTGGTGTGATTTTAAATAGTCCGGAATTCTTGATGTAAAATTATCTTCTATATTTTAGAAGCTATATTTAAAAAACTGTTAAACACAACAAATATGCTCCAAATTTTTTTTAGCCACTTAAAAATCCATTGATTTACGAACTGAATTTTTAGGAACTATTAATTGGCGATGCTCTTATATCTATTTATTAGTTCGCTCACCGTGATGAGGTAGTCTGATTGGTGATAGAGAGACAACTAATTAAAGATTGCATCTTTTTCTCCCTCTCTGTTGATTAACTAATTTCATGAGATCAAGTGTAAAACCGAAAAATGGAGGAAATCCGCAAGATATATACCTTGAGCAGAAGTTCATCAGCCGGTGGGATGTGTTCAGTCCGGTGCCGGTAGGAGCCTCGGCGACAACATGAGGTCGGTCCATGACGGTGCAGTTGATGTGTGGGAAGGCGCTGGCGATGGCAGCCGCGGCTGTGCCACGGCGCCCCCGACATCGACAAGCGACGTGAGGCCATGGAACATGGCAGGGCTCTCGCTGACCACGGCGTGCATGACGAGGCGGGTATCGGCATCCATGCACTCGTAGAAGCCGGCTCTGGTCGTGGCATCGTCTTGTATAGACTCAAACATGTCTTTGCCGTTTACCATCTCGTAGAGAGACATGGCGGGCGCCTGCTGGTGCTTCATCCAGTCACCCATGCTGAACCAGACCGATGTAGCTATATTGACTTGCTATGTTCTCCGATTTTTGATAAACGATAACTCGTGAACCAAATATAATGCTTGTAGTTTGAACTTATTACATGAGCTCAGCAAAGTTTGGGACATGTCGAACTTGATTCGAACATTGAAATTCACATTCGAACAGAAAAACAGAATTTCAAAACCTAATGCTGGAACCCAGAAATCAGCTTGACTAACCCAATTTTATGGCAAATTAAATCCTAAACCATGGCTCTAATAATGTTTAGCCTTTAATCAAACTTGTAGAACACGCTATGGTGAAGATATTTCGTTGCAGCCTCTGGATCCGAATGAAAGTAGAATATGCCGAAACCACGGATCAAAACAAGCAACGAGCTGCAGTTTAGTCTGACATCGCCCGCCACATGCTCGATGAAACGCCAAGCCTGCCGCGTGCCGCCCACGCGTCTGCAGAATGCTGCCACGCTCGCCACGCACGCCCGCGGCTGTGCCACGCGCCGCGGACGCTCTGCCCGCTGCCGCGCCCTCTCCAAATGCGGGCCACTGCGACCCCCTCCCACACCCCCCTGCTCCTGCTCGCCAGGGACGACATGGCCGAGTTCTAGATCTCGCGCCCGTCACCGCCGTTCCAGGCTAACCACACCACCACTGCTTCAGCCGAGCGCACCAGCGTGCCGACCTGAATCCCCTCCTCTGCCTGCGCGCTCTCGTAGCGTTTCTCCGACCAAGGTCATCGCGAACGGCGAGCGCACAGACGCCATTGCCGGCGACGCCCAGCTCGCGGCGCCGCCACCCGCCATCCCGCCCTTCCTGATCCACTCCCACACTGCTGCCAGCTTCACCGTCATTCCCGCGTGCTCTGAGCTCCACCAGAGCCTCGTGAACGCCGTGGCCGCCATACCCGCTGCTCCCGTGGCCATCACTGCTCGGGCCGTCTCTGATCCCATCGTCGCCCACGCTCGAACCATGGTAAGCTCCTGTCCATCCTCTACCGCTCCATTTGCCTCGCGGAACCGCTACCTCGCCGGAACGCCGCCGGTGCCGCGGCCGCCGCGGGCCCGCGGCCACCCCAGCGGCTAGCCGCGCCAGGCTATAGCCGCTTCCCCTTGGCCTCGCAGCCGCCATATATCGCCACCGAGTATGCTCTGCTTCCGCGTGCGAATTGGCGGGCCACCGCACCGTCGCCGCCCCACGCCGCCGCGGCCGGCCATGGTTGTCGCCGCCGCTGCACGCGGCCGGGACGGACACAACCACCCTCCTACTAAAATGATGCCAGATCTGGGTCCGCGAGAGCCCCGCGCCCCGCGGGGCCGTCTCTCTGCCGTCATCGTGCCGTTCCCCGGCCGGTTTGGCCGCCGGCCAGCACCCTTTGCACGTACGCTCTTCTCCGATGAAGCTAGGGACCGGGGAAAACACGAATAGAATCTAGTATGGGGTGTTTACCGCAAACCCCGTGACAAAATGAATGGTGAATCGGGCTGGGACGGGATTCGTTAGAAACGAAAGGCGATTTTTGCAAAAGCGCCTTGATGCCTTGGGCCACCCGCGCCTGGCCGCGCTCTCGCTGTGGACCGGGCCGAGGCCCACAAACGCCTCTACGCTGTACTTTTTATTTTTTTCGCGATTTTGTCCTTTTCAAATAAAACTGAGAAAGGTTGCTAAAAAAAACTGATAAAGTGAGAACTTGTAAAATGTGTATAAAACCACAGATAGATCCAACAATTATATAAACAAAAAAAATCTGTGAACTCAACATAATCATTTATACACGATAAAATAATTCTACTTAGTTAAATGACCATTTTGCCCCTCGGACTCTCTATCTCTCTATATATATATATTATATTTTATATTATATCATAATCACACCCCATGCATTGCACCGGGAAAAAATTTACAATGACAATTTAAATCTGACTGTGTTATAATATTACGAAAAAAATATACTTATAACATCCTAAAATTTGAATTTTTGGAAATAGAGCTAAAATGATTTAATTTGGAATTTATGTGCTCATGAAAACATAGGAAAACAAAAATTTTCATTAAATTAAAATTCATCATAAGGTAGCAACATGCTTGTGCATACATGCCGGTGCATTTGTTTCTTTGAATGGTGTGGATTTGATTCAAATTGAAAATATTCCAAGATGCTTTTGGAGTTGGCTTTTAAGTAAAAGAAAAGAAAATTAGGAAATAAAAGAATTTAAAAAGTTGTAAAATTTATTTTTGAAAGTCTACCAAAATTGTTCATTTTGAATTGAATTGAAAAGCGTATTTTAAATAATATTTATACTTGATTCGGTTCATATTTGAATTTGTTTTGAATTAAGAAAAGAAAAAGGATTTGGAAAAAGAAAAGAAGAAAATTCTCCCTTTATCTTATTAGGCTCGAGTGGCCTGCTTCTCTTTTTCTTCCCGCGGCCTAGCATTCTCCTCCTGCGGGCCGTTCTTCTCCTTTCGCTTGGGCCTGCGCCCCGCGCCTCCCGTCCCGCGTGGCTTTGCTTTCCCCCGCGCTGGCCCATCTCCCGCGCCCGCTCCGCATGGGCCAGCAGTGCAGTCGACCCAGGTTTGCGCCGCGTCACGCCGTTCTCCTCTTCTCCACCCCGCTGACATGCTAGGCCCGCCCATCAGGGCGTCTTCATCCTCTCCGCGCCGTGTCCGTCTCGAGTACGACCGCATCGCCGCCGTCAGTGCCTGCCTCTGCTACGAGCCTTGTGCCGTGCCTCCCAAGATAGCCCCACGTCTCATAAATAGCCATCCGAGCCGTGCCTCCTCTCTATCCCACCTTGCAACAAGCTTTCCGCCTCGCATAGAGTTCGCCGAGCCGCCGCTGAAGCCCTAAGCGCCGCAGTGCACCATCCCGCATCGGCCGTCGTTGTCACGCCTTCTCCACCCATGGAAAGCATTCCGGTGAGATCCCTATCTTCTCCCCTCTCTCCTCGTGTCTCCGGTTCATCAAACCATGCACCGTAGGCTCCAATTCGATAGCGTCGGTGAGCCCATCCATGGCACCGCCGCGGATACCTCGCCGCCAGCCCTATTTCGGCAGCCAGGTTCTTTCTCTCACCGCTTGCTTCCATCTCGGCCGTATAAATCTAATCCGCCGGCCCAAAAGCAAAGATACCCCTTCGCGTGGCCATTTTGCTAAAGAGTCCCTGCGCTTTTCAATAATAGAACCCGCAGTCCATTACGTATTTCACAGTTTATGCTTTCTTCCTTTAAAAGCGTATTTTGTTCGGTTGACTTCAAAAATACGTTTTCACTTATTTACAGATTTGCCACTGATTTTGTTTTAGCCATAACTTCTCCGTTTCAACTCCGATTTGATCCGTTCAACTTGCGTTAGGTTCATAATTTCATAATCTACATGTTCATACTACTGTTAGATATGTTTTCAACTTTTAAAATTTAAGGTTAGATTTAATCTATTATTTTAATAAAGGAAATCTTCTGCGTTTTAGCTCCAAATTGACCCGTTCAAGTTGTGCTAGATTCATTGCAACGAGATCTACACGTTAGTAATAATGTCTATCAAGACACTATTTTCTAGAATATTATGGTTTAAACTCTAATTTGAATAATAATTATGCAACTAGATTTTATAAATAAAATATGATTTGTTTTACTTTAGTTTTATAATTCGAATCTAAATTTGACTTAGTTCAATTTATATAAGCTTTTATATAGTTAAAATAAATGACGCCTATAGTTTTCTTTTCCACGTATAAAGCCAATCTTTCGGTAGTTGTATCTATTCAACCGTAGCTCCGATTAGCGTGCTTTTCACGACTGTGTGTTCGTAGCGATGCGTAGAATCGTGTTTCAAACTTTTTTACTTATTTTTCTATGATTGGTATACTATTTTAATTTAGATCTATTTTTTTGCTTCATGTATGATTGCTTCTGGATGCTTGTGTGGTGCTTTATGATCATGTCTAGTCAGTGAGCTTTACGTGTTGATCAAGAAGGAGTTCCATTGAAGGTTTGGACTAGAAGAAGGATCTAAGTTTAAGGCATGTATAGCATGGGACCATCCTTGTTGCCTATTCACTGTTAATCACTTAATTTATATTACATATGTCTACCTTGGTTGCCACTAAGGATTTCCTAGTACTTTGTTCCTTGTGCCTTGATACATTTGGGTTATTACATTGGGTAGTATTATGCTAGTGCTCAACTAAAGCCATGATCTTGTAACTTGACTAATGGAATATGCAATAAATACTAAAAGATGCTTTTTAGCAATATGGAACAAGGGGGCTAGAGCATTGGGCTATTTTATGGTGCTCTAGATTTCTCTCCCTAAGGACTTATCTGTAAGTGATTATCTGGGACTTACAGTATAACTGTGAGGGCTACATGGCTCTGGCTTTAGCTCAGTATGAGGACTTTTTTTAGCTTCTTAGAGGTTACCTTTATTGGTGTAAGAATGGCTTGACGAATCGGGTATAGTACAGCCTCTACTCTTATGTGTATAGCCGTGAGGGAATTGTGCCATTTGATAGGGGGTTCCTATATCCGTTTGCCGAGTGAATCTAATGGCCCTAAGTTGTTAGACGAACCTTTGAAAGGCTTTATAGTGAACCCTGCCGACTTTCCTTGGTAGTGGGTCAAGAAGTTGGCCGCCTCGGGCGAAAGGATAAATTACGACTCATAGTGAAAGTGTACAACCTCTGTAGAGTGTAAAACTGGTATATTAGCCGTGCTCACAGTCACGAGTGGCCTTGGAACCCTTACAGAATAGATGATGAACACTGATGATACTGATGATAAAGATGCTCACTAATGATTACTGTTTATGCTATTCATTATTCATGATTACCTGATCATGTGTTTATATGGGCTTGTGATAAACTTGTTGCTACTCCTTTGCTAAAATTGTGACAATTAAAAGCTAATCGTAGTTAAACTAGTGTCAACCTTTTCAGCCTCATGAACCCCATGTTATATTTGTTGAGTACGACATGTACTTACGCTTGCTTTATTTTTCAATTATTTGGATAAAATCCCGGATGGGTACTAGATTGCTAGTCTGGAGGAGTTAGGCTTGTGGTCAACCAGTCAGTTGTCCCTGTGGATTTGGAGTCTTCGCCTGAAGATCAGAGTTGTCTTTCTGCTGTCTATACTCAGAGGTTATATTCTGTATACTAATACGTTATGTATTTAAGCATTGTCTATTGATATTACCCTTATTTGTAGCTTTATGTGAGATTTGACTTCATAGGCTGACATATGGTGTGTATCTAGTTTTATCCTTAAAACCGGATGCTATAAAGTGGTATCAGAGCAATACTAACTGTAGGACATAAGCCTAGATAGAACTGGACGTTTTAGCATGCTTTCATCTTTGCTTAGTTCTTGCTCTCTCTAACCTTGATATTTGCTAAAACTTATGCTCACTTCGGCCTCTGTTTTGTTATAAAAACCTTGTCTTTATTCTGAACCTTCTCTATTCGTCTATATAGATGGGTCATAATGAGGAGACCACCAGCATCAAAGGTTAGGAGGATCAAGCTACGTTGGCCGTAATTGCATTCGACAAGGAGAAGCTTGTAGCTATGCAACAACAAGTATTAGAAGGAATGACTCAATATGGGAGTTCTCCATGGTGCTTGCCACAAGGTCAAACCAACATACCAAAGGGACTAGTGAAGAGATAAGTGGTAAAAGCTTGGAAGAAGATGAAGTTCAATGAAGGTGTTCATAGTAAGACGCTTGGAAGTCAGGATCAATGTCATTGTTGTAAACATTATGGTTTTCCCTGTCTTCAGAGCAAGTCTAATAAGAGGGAAGTCAAGGTGAACCTGAGTTGTGAAGCTAATGTGGATAAGAAGAGGAAGGCGGTCTCATCAGAGCCAGAATTGGGAAGCAATCAACATTCGAGTTCTACTACGTTGCCACATCCAGCTCCAACCCCTGGTCAGATAAACTCAGACTCTAAAGAGTCAGAAGTTTCTCAAGCTAAGATTACTCCACTCTTTCCACCGGAGGTATGCATAGATGGGTGGACGATCACCTATAAGGAGTTTCAACCTCGAAAGATCAAGCGAGCTAAAAAGTGGTCAAGTTTAACAAAGATGAACCTTCAGAGTCAGCAAGCTAACAATACTCTAAGCAACAAT